TTTTACGGAGGTTTTGATGTTGATGACCAGGAAGCCTCCAGAGGTTCACACGCTGCCGGGATGATTTGTCATCACGACTGTCAGCTCTTGTAAGCAACGGTCACTGAAGAGCGCTTTCAGGATCAGCGACTCAGACCACAAACCTCCTGCGTACTTACTGCACATGACCATGAAAGTTAAACATGAACTGTTTTATCTGAGAGGGTGCTGATTAAAATACCAAACTCTGTGAGAGAGATTTATTCTCAGACATTTACTGAGAGAAAAAAAGATATTTATACACAGCAGGAGGGCACATTTTCTGCAATGCTCGTAGCAAGTGTACGCATATCAGACTCAAAAAAGAAGGAAAAAAGTACTAACTCTAGAGACTAACAGATGGCTTCTAGGCTACATTTTGCAAAAAAGTGTTTGTTTTTTTTAGAAAGCAGCAGATTTCTGGAAGCCATATTCGAGTAACACACTTTTCTCTTGTGCAGTATACTAACAACAGTTGACAGACTCTCACACCTCTTGGATATTTGGATCAGAGCAGCCAGAGAATCCTTACAGAAGAGTCAAATACTGTCTGTTTTTTTTTTTACAGCATGTCATAAATATCAACGATGATCAGAGCTGTGAATGAAATGATTTGAATGCCTAATCTTTTCTCAGCGGATTCCTTGTGGAAAAAAATGAATATTAGCCACTGTTTTTCACAAAATAAATTACCATTTTTGGCTACTTTGTTGAAGCATAAAAGAAGATGTAAAATCAGCATTAACATAATGAGATGATATTCTGAACTTTTAGCAAGTAATAGATTGGCACTTCTAGCAGTTACAGAACAACAACTTCGATCATTTGGAGTCATTTTTCTGTTCATCTAGTTAATGCTGGTCTAAAATGCACTCTCGTTTTTCTTTAGCTTTGGCCACGACCAGTTAAACCAATTGCATTTTTCTATGAACTGGGTGTCTGTTGAGCTATTGGCATCACTCAGCAGTGGATGGTTGCCTAATGCAATAGAGTCATGTTGGAAGTGACAAGCTGTTTTATTTGCTGTCTCAGCTAGCATTGAAAGTAAATGTTATTAGGTATGATATCCAAAAACACGCCTGCAGTTATCTTGTATGGCCTTTGGGGCCGCCAAAGAGAACAAAAAAGAGACTACTGATTATGTTTCTTTAAGAAAATCAATTAAAGCCACTTTCAATTCTTATATACTTAACTTCTCTTAAAAACAGAAAACAAGTCAGTACCATTTGGATACAACCAACATCAGCCTGCCACGGTGTAACCTTGTTCATCAGAACCTCATGGCAGTAGATATTTTGGAGACAAAAAAAGTTCAGCCCTGGGTCTCAATAAATATAATTTATGGTTTCATATTATTATCCATTATTGGTTCTAACTTAAAATGCTGGATTCACTTTGTGACTATAGTCTAGTTTAGTTTAGCGCTATCAGCCATATCGAGGAGAAAATGCAATGAGATACCAGAGGATCTTTGATGTGTTTGGGTGAGCTTGTGGCCTGTGAACGCCTCCAGATTCTCATCTCCCAGGGTGTTTGTGTTATTCCAGTAATCCAGGCCAGCCATTGATCCGAGCCTGGCAGCATCGTTCTGCTGCTGGCAGGTATCCACAGAGGGTCTGACTGACCTTTGGCCCCAGGTCACTGCCTCTGGTCTTACTCGACTGGCTCTAAAAAGAGATGAAACTATCAATCACTCGCCTGGTGGATGCACATCAGAGGGAATGAATAAATCAATATGCAGGAGAGGCTGTCTTATATTTGCTCAGATAGTAAATCATTCGGCTGTATTTCTGCCAGGTTTCTTTTTTCATTCTGTGCAGTCCAGGTGATGTGTCATACATGCAAGCTGTGAGGTTGGTGTAGTCAGACTACCTTATCATAAACATTCTCGCTAAAGAATGTTGTGCGATAAAGTCTGTGATCCACGAGAACGATAAAGCGCAATGCTCTGAAGTGAGTTGTAAACATCTGCAGCAGCACAGCATAAAACAAACCTGTCATTAAGTGAGATGACTCATGTGTGGTGAGGGTATCATCTGCCTGTTTCACATATTATTTTAATGATTTACGTATGAGATGCATGTCGTTACTCAGCTCATGCCACAGTACAAATCAAATGATGTACAATAAATTGACACCTTTGCAGCTTTGCCGGCTTGCGTAGATAAGAGGAATTAGATCAATGACTCACAGCTGATGCCTTTCAGGTCTGGGGGGAGGGGTGGGCAGGGTGGAGCTGTCAGTGAGTAATAGAAGATTAGATTTTGGATAATCCAGGACAGAACGTGCCAGAAGGTCAGATTACTTGATTCTCAACACCTTTCAGGCAGACTCAATCGTTGCTGAGAGTTTGTTGAACATTTGATCTGAATCTGCATGAGTGATTTGGGGAAATTTCAATGAATGTGACGGAAATGTGTTTTTTTTTTTTCTACCTGAAGTTTTCTGTTATCATTATGAATAAAAGGTAGCTCCATGATTGTTATAGCGTGCGATTCACATAGCTGTTTCTTCAAATCCATCCATATCTTTGTCGATGGCCACAAGAAAAAAAAAACCCTTCTCTGTTTGTAACATTTTGGTTACAGATAGTTGTTCACTTCAACACATTTTTGAACAAAACTCTATATTCCTCTTCATTTCATCCCACCTTTTCATGAGCAAGAGACTTTTTAAAGGTTTAAAAGCACAACAAAGGCACTGACAAGGAATATTAGCCTATATAATATAACTGATTGAATATAACTGAGTCTGATTTAACACGACTTCCATTATTAATCTCACCCATTTATGGTCTTCTATACAAACACGGATACAGGGAGAGAAAATGAGCCAATCCTCCCACCACCTCTTCAAACTGCTAAATATATATATTTGCTCCCACTTAAATAATTTACATATGTGCTGGAACTAACATGCTTTAAATGCAGTGGATTAAGTGATGAGTCTAGGCAATGACTGCAACTATGTACAGTAACTGGATGGCTGGCAATATACAGCTTACAAGGCAAGACTTTGGTAATAATTCAAAATGAATATTTATTATATTTTAAACATATTTACCATAAGTATGTTATCCAAAAAGTTTTTATTTCTTAATTCATTTTTAGGTTTCCACAAAAAATCATGTTCATCTATGCCCTCTACCCATACGCGTCTACCAACAGGAAGGAACAAGTATTGTTCTTAATTATTACTCCAAATGTAAAGAGTTTTTCCATTGTGATCTCAAAGATTGTATCATCAAATCTTTCTTTAGAGTTCACCCTAATGAAACATTAAAGAGGAAAAGAATCTTTAAGGTTTTTCCAAGACCAGAATCACATCTCAGTCTACCTCAGCAGATTGAGACCATCTGCAATGATGTTCTCTTTTGTTTTGTTTTAAAGGTCAATGCTCAACCAGTGATTGATTCCTTTTGGATGATTTAGTCCAACTCAGGAGTGAACTTTCCCCGATCAACTCCGATTTGTTTTTCTCAGTTCAACAACGTTTCATCAACTCACTCTGGTACCAGCCTTGTTCAGTTCCTGCACTATGAGGCTGAAACTGTTTAACTCCAGTATGAGGGACGACAGCATGGCACCGCTTTATAAAAACCACAGCTCCTCTTTGATGTGTTGTTTTTTATATAAGCGAGGAAAGCCTCATGGGTAGGGCTTTCTATGCCTTCACCACCACCACCACCACCACCACCTCCTCCTTTAACCAAACTGGCTTTCAGCATACATTGACCAAAGGTTGGGTGAACTCACCACTGAGATTAAGTGTGTATAGAAACGTGACAGTACCTGCAAATCATTAACAGTGAGAATGGACGGTCAACTGAAAGGCAGCAAAGCCAAAGGGCAGCACTGTACACAGAGCTGCACGTGACTCCGCTCTGCGTGGGAAACATGGAGCTAGCAAACATGTAATTAGCTGTTACTATTTTCATTCTGCATCGCCCTGAAGCAGCACAGAGATGCTGGTTGTGCGACACATGCCAGGAAAGTTTGAGGCTGTTTAACTTTCTGTACTGGTCTAAAGGGAGACAGTGGACAGTTCTGACCAGAAAACCTTCCCTGAAATAAAAGATTCCTCTTACAGTCAAGAAAAAAACAGCAGTCCTGAATTAAATATAACTCCACTCGAGAAACATTTTTCCCCAAAGAATAATTGTTATGTCTCCAAAAGAAGGAAGACACTGTACAGAAAGAAACATCATGCTGTATTCATAAAACAGTTGTTTTTATTTTAACAGCAGAAAAAGTAGGCTGAGAGAGAGAAGTGATAATGTGTCTAGGAAGACTTCAGTCTTCCCATTGTACAGTGAGTGGAAAACTGGACTGTCCTCCTGAGGGACCTCTCAGTGACTTTGCTGTTAAGAGCTCATTTTCCTCTTCCCTAAATCCTACTGCACCGAACGTCATCCAAACTGCAAGCTAATGCAAACTCCTGGCACGGCTTCAAAGCAGGGCTGGTGTCTGCCTCACTTCCTCTGCCCCCTTTCCTCTGCTCCTTCGCTTCCTCTTACTTCGAGTCACATTGGAGCAAATACTATGATAAAAACAGGACAGAAACGGCTTTCACCTCTAACCCAGATCCCTGCGTGTTTTACTTTTAGTAGTAACCAACTCTAAACTAAAACAGCACAAGTTTTGCACATAAGACAGGAAATGGAAGACAATTTAAAATTTAAAATTGTAGTCGTGCAAAAACTCTTTTCAGTGATGTTGCAATTCTTGCACTGATCAAATCACTCATCAATGATTGTTGAAGTTAGATGAAATTGAGTTGGAGCTCTTCTTTTGAAATTGAAAAACGTGCTGTGTTAGGAGTCAAAAAGCTCTCATTTGAAGGGTTTTCTCAGGTCAGATGAACAGATATGTTGCCACTGCTGTATTTTGTGATTTCGGGGACTGCGAAATTTTAATATTGAACAAGTTCTCAACATTGCGCTGATATTTTGCACTGAACAAAACAGCATTAAGGAAAACAACTATAATATATGGTATTTTATTTCAATTATGAAATTGACAAGCACTCATCAATCAACATATTAAAACAATTCTGCCATCAGCGCAGTCACATGACAGCTCCTTAAAATAAATACTTTTAAGAGGAAATAATACAGACAGAATATGTGAGGCTCAAACCACAAGTACAAACGAATTATCCAAATGTCCGAGAGAAGCAGGGTCTGAAAATTCCCAAAGTCAACCCCGACTCTCCAACAAAAAGTGTTTGTATAAAACAGCTAAGTATTTTGAAAAATACAGAATCTTACAAAAAAGTTTTTTTTTTGTTTTTTTTTTAACTTCTCACTTCTTTAAATCACTGTAAAATATCAGCTGGTATTATGACAAAAATCTGGATTTTTTTTTCCCCCCCATGTATAATAATGAAAAAACAGAATGTGCTTCTGCATTTTTACATAAGTATTCACATACATCATGAGCATACTGTATCACAAAAGTCCTCCACCTCTCAGATGGTATTGTGATGGAGACAAATGTATCGCACAGGGCAGCGTCCCTCCAAACGCTCCTCATCGCCAAGTTGCAGATAGAAACCAGTGACCATGGTAACAGCGAAGGTGTAGTTGGTTCAGAGACACCCACCTGTTTCTTTTCAAACCATCCACGCCCAGGCTTAGTAAAACAATACACTTCACAGCCAAGTGTTCATTGTCTTTATAGGTTATATAACCAACAGCTTTCACATTTTCTGTGTATAAAAACATAAAACTTAAAAAAGTATTATTTTGACAATTCGTCAACTTTCAAAAAGGTCCAAAAAAAGAGACAACATAGCCGTTAACAAGAGGGATTTCAAGATTACAGGTTACAGTACAAAAATGTGGTCCAGGTGGTTGCACATGAAGCATGCATGTGTTTATGTTGCCCTGCTCACCCCTAAAACCCTCATGCGAAGACGTACAGTATAAAAAGGCCACATGGCTTTTCCTTCACTATTAAATGCGCGTGTTCTCTTAACAACTGGCCTCTTTGTCTGCTCATCAGAAGACTGACGAAAGGTGCTTTTTAGTTTTTTTTCCTATTGGTTAACTCCACAAAAGACACAAAACCTCATAATGGTCTTTATGACGTGTGTGTTTGGTACATCTGCACGCTTCTGAAGCTTCAGGGCAGGGTCGAACTACTGACAAATACAAAGTCACAGACAGAATCTGGGATAAGAGCAGTTAACAAGAAGAGACAGAATTGTAACTTCATTGTTTTTGGGCTAAAAACATAAACAGACAACTTAAACCAAAGATCTATAAAGGCTACTGTCAATTGTCTGACATCTTGAAAATATGATGATTCACTTTTTTACTGGGAGTCAGAGGAGCAGATTGACCACTCTCATGCATGTCTTCTAATATATGAAGCTATATCCGGCAACACTTGACCTTAATTAGCTTAGCATAAAAAGTGGGAAGAGGATGAACAACTTGCTTGTTTAAAATTGATAAACACTACTTTTCAAATACTCTTAAGCTTACTTATATACAACTTTATATCTTTCTTGTTAATACTAAACATGTTTGTCAATGTGCTGAACTAAATGTTCTGTTCAATGTACGGCTACAGCAATCAGCCATTTAGCTTAGCCTAGCATAACAGTTAGCCTGGTCTTGGTAGATTTATTTTGTTCTGATTGTACAGAGCCAGGTACGCTAGCTGTTTTTTATGTTACACTACTAAACATGTTATCAATTCTCCATTCACGCTTGTTGAGATTGAAAATATGTGCTTAAAAAAGTAATACATCTTCAAACATGTAGCTAGTGCCAAAAGGCAGTTAGCTTAGCCCAGTTAGCATGAAGACTAGGAAAAGCAGAAACAGCTATACATTTCAAACAAGAAACATGAATTGTTACTCCCGATTAAAATCAACAAATCAGATTTTTACACTTCAGTTTTTGTTTCTGAGAATTTTGATGATTGAGCTTGAGATAGTTTCATTTATTGTGCTAAGCTAGATAAACAATATGCTAGATTAAGCCTCATATTCAGAAAACACATATGAGAATGGTATTGATCTTATTCAACTCATCCAAAATGTTAGAGCAACTCCGTAAAAAAAAAAATTGATTGAAGCTGCAAGTTTCTCACTCAAAAGCATCGATTGGTGTTTGTGTGTACACAAACGTCAGAAGTCTCTCACGAGGGCTCTGTTTGTAGAGGGTTCAGAGGGTGTATACTGTATGAGCATGTAAACAAAAGGCAGTTGGGCTTGAGCTTGAGTCTGCTGAGCTCCCTCTTCTTCAGATCACCCCAATGGGACGTCTCTAACCAGCTTCTAACTGTCTCTGTAAGTGCAGAGGCTTAGAGAAGCCCTTCACCCCTATTTCATATCTTTTCCATAATCTTTAACATCTCTACTGCGGAAATAACAACAAAAATATAACTTAAGATAAACTCTCTAGGCACTGTTTGATTTCCAAGGCTTTTTTGTCGTAGACTGTGATAAAAGGTCAGCAAACAGATACAAATGAAAAAAGAAAGACCAGAGAGTGATGGCTCTGCAGACCAAACACTTTCTCCTCTGTGATATATCCAGTTCCTCCAAGTCAGCTCACACAGCCAAACAGACTCGCTTCAAGCTCTGTGGTGGAGAGGCTGCAAGGGCAGAAGGTATCTAAAGGGTAAGTGTGTAGAAGTTTTCAAGGTTAAGTGTCAGTTCCATTCCTAATCCTTCTTTCTCCTTCATAAAAAGAGAAAAAAGGGTTTTTTCTTAAGCCATGATCTTCTGGGGGATCTCTATAGAAGCCTTGACGAAGATGCAGTTGTCTCGGACGTAGTTCCTCTTCTTTATTTCCTCGTGAGAGATGAACTTGGGGTAGCCGAAGCCTAGGGTGCTCTCGTCCAGCGAGTTGCGGCTGCTGCTGGGCTTCTGGAAGTTCTTCCAGTTGGGGTCGGGGTTGAAGGTCTCAGTGATGTGCTGGGGTTTGGAAAGCGAGGGGTCACTCTGGTCCATGATTGAGAAGGTGACCTTGTAGGAGAAGGGCCACTCCAGCAGGCTGTCGTACTCTCCGGGGAGCACGCGGATGTAGACTGAGAGGTGGGAGCCCTCCCCGCTGCCGTTACCGTTCAGGAAGGCCGACACCTGCAGCTTGTAGCCGTAGCGGTGGGTGTAGAAGGGCGGGCTGAAGAACTCGTGGTTGCTTCTGACTTTGGCCTCCTGGAGTTTGCGCGAGTAGTCGTTGAGCTTCCAGATGAGAACGCCGTCATGACTGACCGACAGCTCCTCCATCTCTCTCCGCAGCTCCAGGATCTCCTGCCGCTGACGCCCCACCAAGTTACACATCATAGTCAGGTGAGACTTAGTGGTGTCTTCAAGGTGACGTCCGATAGCCAGTTTGGGGCACTGCCAAAAGAGAGCATAAAGATAAATAATGCTGCTTCATAGTGAATACAGATGTTTAGCTATTATCTATGACATCTTTTTTCACAAAGAAGATTTTAGATTGCTTTAATATTTTGTGCACCATTGCTTTCTGCTGCAAGTTATTCTTCTCATCAGTATATATTAAGCTGTTGTTAATAATGTTTGATAATAATAATGTTTTTACCATTTTAAGTCAAGTCATAAAGCATGATAAACATTTGAACACCATTTAAAAAAAAACAATAACAAATTGGTGGTCTGCATTTTGGAAACATAACTGAAGGTATTAATAATGGTTAAATATACTATGAAGAGTCAGAGGAATATGTGAAACTGATGGAGGTCCAGACATAAAAAAAAGAAAAGAAAAGTATAAAAAAATCTCTTTTGTCCAGTTAAGACATCCTGACCTGGAGCTCAACTATTCAAGTCAAATTAGTATCAAATATAAGATCATGAAATAAAGTAAAGATGGCATAATTTATATATTCAACAGCACAAACAATCTGGTGGAGATTGACACAAAAAAAAGAAAAAGAAAGTACATGCACCCCAGTTTTTCTGGCTGTGGGCTACAGTCTATGGATACATGTTGTCTGTGGGCTTAATAGACAGTCTTGCTGTTGTAATGTGACATCATGCCCCTGTGTTCTATTTGACTTTCAGAAGAAGAGACATGAATTTAGTGGAGAACTTGATTTGAAAACTATAATTGGATGCTTTTCTGATCTACTCAATGTCAAAAGAAAGCACCTGTACAGGTTCACATAACGACAGACAGTGATCAAAGGACACTGCTTCCACAGATCATCTATTTCTGAGCCATACACTTAACATTTCAAAGACACGGCTTATTATATTAAATAATAACTGCATTCCATCAAGCCATCTGTAAATGTTATATATCAAGCTTTCTGGAGGATTACAGCACACTGAGTATGATGCAAATCCACCGTTCTTCCTCCAGCGTCTCCACATCTTAAATTGACGTCAGCTTCAGAAATAGACCGAATTGCATGGACAGAATATATGAGTGTTGCTCTCATTAAAATAGACCCCGCAGGCACTGTATGTTTGAAAAGACGAAGATCACTCCTTTGGACACGCACTGATATGAAGGATATATAATGAAAAAAAAAAAAAGAGGCAAAGACAAACAAGCTCGCCGGTTGATAACCATATATTAACAGTTCCTCCAGAGACTGAATATTTTAAAGGTTAAGTGATGCTAGGCAGGCTTACCCTGTGTTTGCAGCCAGCATCTTTGAAGGGGCAGAGAACGAGAGCACTGCCGCAGTTGTCCTTCACATGGTTAGCCAGGTCCTCTCGGGCGATGTTGGGTGTGCCACACTGGTTCGGACACTGGACAGGAAACCGAGGGCAGTGGTACTGGTGGTTCTGCAGAGGAGAAGGGGACAGTGTTAAAATATACACACACTGCTGACCCACAGCATGCATGCTACACAGCAGAGTCACATGTTAGTGGTTGCAAAGCAATAACTGTCCTTGAAACGTTATAAAAAACACATGTGGTTTCAAAAATAAGGCCGCAAACATACCCGAAAAAAATAATGATCCAGACTGAAACCACAAAAAATAACTGGGACCTTGCTGCTAACAACACACACCAATCCCAGTAGGTCATAGCTACCAATGTTTAAAACACTTCACACCTGACCCAAGGCTCTTGATTGATATCCAGGTATCTCAATAATTGTCACTCTCATTAGTTCTTGTTTATTTTCTGTTATTACATCCCAGTAAGCTGATGTCCTTGAGTTTTTAGTGATGGTCTAAGAAAGTCATTTTTAGAGTTACCTTAGGGTTAGGGCTTTGTGGACAAAATAACTTATTGGGAAAATAATCAGCAGATTTAATGAATATCATCAGGAAGTTTCATGTTAAGATTCTCTCTGTTATGACTTCATTATTTTTGTTCAATTTTGTAAAGATCTTGAACTTTGAGGGGCGGAGAGGCGATAACTTTTGGGGCATTTTTGCTTGAACAAAAAAAACAACTTAAAGAGTAATTTGATCATTGAAATCGTTGCAAACTAAAGACTAGAAGTTAACTTAGGTGACAAGAAGCAATCTGCATGAAAGAACAACATTTATTTAATGTGTAAACTGACTCGTGCAATGGAACTTCTGTTTCCTGTATACTGTAATGTTTAATAGAATTCATATATATAAGTATCAGGAGGGAAAACTGCACTTGTTTAGGGTTATGTCGGTGTTTTGATTGAATGATTTCGTGAAAAACTTCATAAATGCACATTAAAACACTACATTCTGCAGATATGTTTTCAGAGGACTCAACCTCAACCTGTGTTCAGAGGCAGGTGTTTCTACATGAAAGCCTGGAGGTCAGCAGCTCAAACTATCATACAGCTGCCACAGAGCAGTGACACCATAAAGGCAGCATCCTGCAGCTACAGCGGCTCTCGTGAAGGACAGATGACACGGCTATCCAAAGTGACACGAGTCCCATTTTGAGTGTAAACATGTCTCGACACTTACCTGGCTTGATCCTGCCAAACATAACCACATATGAGACTGATAATGACAGATTCTGCGGGTAGACTGACCTGGATAGTGTCAAAGACAAACTCCTTGCCGCAGTACTTGCAGGGCTGCGTGCGTTTGGGACACTCGGACAAGCTGTGCTGGGACAGCAGACGACGCATCATCCTCGCCCCGCACTTATTCTCACAGTAGACGCTCTCCTGAGGACACACGCCCTGGTGGTTCTGGGACGCGAAGGGGAAAGCACAAAACATTTGTTTTTTAGCGTTAACATGTGCTACAAAAACTGCAGGTACATTTAAAATCGCTTTGAGGATTACTGCTTTTCTATTGCTTTATTTAACTGTATACATCATTTCAACGTAGCCTTTCTCCAGCGTCACTAGTAGGGCTGAAAGTTATTGCAGGTACTAACTTTGTAAACATGACTGTAATTCCAGTGTGCATGCCAAAAGGTGGATGAATGCCCCTGCAACTGTATGGAGTGGGGCCAGAGTAAACAGAGGAGGGGTGGTGTGGTGAAAAGGTGCTAGTGAGGAGACTCTGAGGTCCTTCAGCCTGCTCACTGAGGAAAACACTCTAAGTATAAAAGAGCCAGTCAAAGCTTCTCCCCTTGTGCCAACACACGTGTTAGTTCAAAACAGACCAACACACTCTGATGGCAGGGACACATGTGCACGAGTCCCTCCTGCTGATTTTTCTCAAAGCTGTCTTTCATACGAGCATGGAAATGATGTGCCGTCACTTGGGGTTGTTTACGTCAAACTCCTGCTGTGTTTCTACAAGGGGGAAAAAGGAATTCAAAACAGGTTTGTGGGCTTGGTGTTTACCTCGTAGGCTTCACCGGTGAACTCGCTCCCACAGAACTCGCACTTGACCTTGCGCTTGGGGCAATCGTGCTGCAGGTGGTCGGGCAAGTCGCGGCGTGTCAGCTTGACGGAGCAGCGGTTGGGGCAGGGTATCACATTGAAGGCGCAGGTGGAGAAGTGGCCCTGAGGGAGAAACGACAACAACAACATCAGACTACTCACACACACACACACACCCCCACCCACATGTTCGGCATTAAGCCAAGGAAACTGCCAGTAAACAACCAGACGCGAGCGAGGAGGGAGGGCAGCTATATGGGTATCAGGAGGAGATAAGATGAGGTGTGTGTTTGATCAGGCGGCAGAGATTCAAACTGAATATGGAGGAGACTAGACGGAGGGTGTAAGAATGTCTCACCTGCAGCTGCTTCATCTGGCCAGTCCAGCGGCAGCCCTCCTCACTGTGGATGCAGCGGATTGGCAGCGCCAGGATCTGCTGCTCCAGCTCCGGGTCCGGGTAGATCTGGGGGAAGAATGGACAGGATAGGGTTACAAGCTGATAGAGGTGAGACAAGGTCAAGCTAAAAGACAGTAATGTAAAACCAAACCAAAAGTAAAGACCGTTACTAACTACTTTGACACAGCAAAAGTGTTTAAAATCTGGATTTGAATTTAGCTGTACACCTACAACATTGCATTTCCTTATTTTTATGAATTTTATTAGATGGGGCAAGGAAGAAATATCTTGATTATAAAACTCATCTAAACTAAAAGTTTTATGGTTCTGGTGCTGCCAGGGATGATGTACAATGGTTTACAGGCTTCTCTTTGGGGCGTTTGTCATAATTTCTAAATAAGCTAATTAAAAGCTCAATGCTGTAATAACATTTCAACTAATGCCTTTGGCCTCTTTTGCTCTTCAGACAAACTTTATTTTACACACACAAAGCGCTATCTCCATCATGATTGGTCAATAGTAATGGAACAACAAACAGGTCACAAGCTGAGAGCAAATCACAATATAGTCCCTGGCCTATAGATTGTGCAAATATTTGCAGATACTTGTGAAGAGCAGTGGTTCATTAGTACACTTAATGTAAATAATTAAAGTTGATATAGATATTTCTATGGTGCCGTACTATCCCTGTATATTTCGGTAACATGTTGGATTGATAACATATCATCTGTTAAGACTGAGTTGACCCTTCCAATGCGGTCATAATGTGTTAGTTTACAGCTTTATGAGACCTTTGAGAGAGCAGAGGAAGAGATTTATTTTTCCTCGGTCACCGAGTGATGGGATGAGTCAGTTCTTGTCCCAAACACCCCAAATCCTCCCCTCCAGTCCGCTGTCCTGAGGATTTACAGCCCTGCTCTGCATCTCCATCCCCCCATAGTGTAACACAAGCCGTGCACCAGTCAAACAAGAAAAGCCACTTCCACAGAATGTCACAACAGCCCTCTAAACAAATACCAGCTCAGAAAACAGCAGGACTGCGCTCACATGCAGCCAGAACATGGGAGAAGTCTTCCTTCAAATTAAAAGTTAATTTTGAAACTAATCCCCAATAAAAACATTGCAGTGTTAGGCGAGGTCTCTGCCAGACTAAGATCCAAACCTTTTAACTGTGCTCTAAGGAAACATACATACAGTATGTATTAATTTAAACACAAGAGGAAGATGTTTTATTCGTTTTTGCTGCCATTATCACATTCTTTCAGCAAAGAGGGGAAAATCCTATAAAGCAAACTGAAACACTCTCTCATTGTTCCAGTCTTGGAATCTGCAGGGAGACGGCAATGATGACCTTTTAATAACTTAGTCCCAGGCAGATCAGGGGGGGGGGGTTAAGCTCTTTGGAGCTCCAACTTGAGGGTTTATTCTGTCTGCTTTAGCCATTGTTAGTCCCTCTACTATTACTACTACAGTGCTTTGAGAGCCGTGGCACTCGTTTTCTGTTGGGTTGTGTTTGTTCACTTTTCTCTAAGGACAGTGTGTAGCAAGCACAACAAAAACCCTGAGAGTAGACCACCAGGATTGGGGTAATTTGCAGGCGACTGGGAGCCTACGAGGGCAAATAACAATGTCTGACAGGTGTGCCATGAGCACATCCTTCCTGTGATGAGTCCCTGCTATTACAGGCGCCTCCGTCGCTCTAAGCACAGCATGCAGACCTGCACTGCTGCACACACAGAGCCTGCTGCAGCTCTGGGTTAATGGCTCGTTGGCTAATTTAAGCTAAAGCTTCCAAACTGCATGGGAGAATTACAAAGAGCGTGACATTTTCAAATCAATGCCAAAAGCTGCTCAGTTCAAGAAACTGTTCATTTCTTAGTATCTCGTGAATACTTCAGAAGTAAGCCTTTATTCTTGTGCTGCTCTATTTTTTTTTTTTTTTGCTCTACAACGGGGAAATCACGTGCGAGATAAAGAAATCCTCTGACTCTGAATACAGTTAGTCACCATCTCTCCCCGAGGGCACAATCTGATTAAAAAACAAAGGGGACAAAAGAGTTGAAATCGGGATAGAGTTTTTCTTCTCCTGGACTGGGAGGGATTTATTTGGGAATCAAACACAGCAGTTCAGATCAACTAAGCACTCTGCTTTCCCACTGTAATGAAATGAAAGGTAACCTCTGACTCTGGATTATGCTTTTTAGAGGTTCACATGTACAAATGTTCTGCTTTCAAGTCAAAGTCCCATCCAGTCATCAAATGTTTTGCTTCTCAAATCTGACTATTTGCATCTCACATCCCAACTGTATGTAGATCTAACATTGTTTGTGTAACTATCCGAGCTGCCTGCCTCCTCTCTGATTTGCATTTTTCTGATTGGACCGTTGAAAACGTGTTTAGTGGCATTTTGCACCTGTAGGCTATGCAAACCGTTTGATATAGTTTTCCTCACATCTTTCAGAGATCCTCTTTAGGTTTAAGAAGGTTACAAACCGGTTTTGGTTTTAATTTTTTTGAATGCTTTTGATTGTTTTATTTCATCTTTAATCTTGGTTTCAAGCTTTCAAAGTTCTGGAGAGTTGTTAGCCTGAATTAAAACTCTTTGTTTCCATTATTTATGAAGTTGTCTGTCATGTTTTTTGTGCTTTATCGATAATATTCAGATTCGTTCTTCATTCAGGATGAGGACTGAATGTGGGTTACCGTACCTTGGCATAGTCCAATGGCAGCTGATCTTCTGGACACTTGAAGACCCCCTCACTGCAACAAAACAACAGAAAAAGGTTTTATTATCATTGGAATCACTAGTATTATAAGATTATCACAGACAAAGGCTGTTGGCAAGCATATAAAAAAGGACAATCAAACTTTTTTGAGGCAAATTCAGCTTTCAGTGACATCACTCACTTTGACCCTGACCGAGAACAAGCAGAGCTAACAGGCACTTCTTCTCTGACAGTATGGGAGAGCAGGGCTGCTTTGCCCTAAGTTTTATTCTGTCTCTTCAAACATTATTAATATGAGAAGTTGTCTGACTCATCTCTGTGTGTGACATGCAAGTACTTACACACACACTGCACAATAAAGTCAAATCTTTGAGACCATGGCTGTCAAAACTTTGGCTCTTTCATCTTCTTCTCCTCAGAGGATTCGTCTGCAAAGATTTGTATACTACTGAGGACAAAACAACTATGAGCTGATTGATTTATTTATTACACAAAGGGATGATTGATGATGCACTTCATGGCTAGTTTATTTCTCAGCTTACAGTGTTGACTTTATGCCCTTGATTCCCATGTTCTAGTTTCTCAAGCATGTTTTTTTTTCTGAGAGTAAAGCAGAGTAGGCCTCGCCTTCCTGCTCAAGGCTCTTACCCAGGAAGAAAAAAAAAACTATGACTTGCTGGTGCAACGGCGGGAAGTGTACTTTTTTTCCTCCAGCAGTTTAACCCAAAATAAGATTTAGATACACATTTTACGGCAAGCCCCAGTGCATTTTTGTGGTGGCAGAGAGGAGCCTTCACTGGCCTGTTTTAGGGCCAGACGAGCAGATGCCAGTGCTCATTATTGCAGGCCTCATGAAATATTCACACTTGGTAATAATGGAGGCAGCATCCACCAGAGGTGAGCTGCAAAACCAACCTAATGGCTGCTTTGTAAACCCCCCCCACACACACACACACACACACGCTTACTTAAAAAAAAAGAGCAAAAAAGGCAATCAGTGGCTGATCTTTTAAGAAGACTGTCTTGAGCCCCCTGCTGCTGTTGGATCAGAGATGCCTTCATAGACTGTCTTCATCTCATGTATCTGCTATCTTTATCATTGTTTTAAAAAATCCCTCACATTCAGCATTTCTGATGTGAGGTTTAGTTTCTTTTTCATTTTTGGTGTCATGGCACTGCTACTTTTCAGTTCTAAACTGTTATTTGGAGAAAGCAAAACATGCGACACATGTTTTTCTGCGAAAATTATTCAAAACAATCTGAAGCAGCATGTCCCTATACATCTCCTCATTTTCTTTGAACTTTATGTCTACAGAAACTGCAAAGATGCACAGAAATGTGTTTTATTGAAAAGTCATGTGTCCTGAAGCCTGATTTCCCTCATGCTAAGAGGCCTGTCATAACCCCAACAGAACCTACATTATGCTTAAACTAATTAAGAGACAACAGTGTGCAAACATTAAGTGTTCCGCCCCCGGGTGCTTTGATATGGTTGGCTGTGGAGTCACCTGACCGAGACTCCCAGAGGCACAGGAACATGTGACAGAGCGGGAGTGCATGTGCACTTCGCCCCGTCTACCCAGCTGCTATGAAACCAGGGAGGGAGCTGAAGGAGGGGGAAGGGGGAGTAGAGGTTAGGCCTGAGAGGGAGGGAGTGATGAAGGGGGGGGGGGTGGAGGAGGGAAGTTAATGCATGACGAGACAGCAGTAATTCTCTATCATTAGGGTCACTGTGTCAGCAGGGAGCTGGAGACCAATTAACAAGCCACGACGGGCTGTAAAACAGGGTCAATCGATTAGAGGCTAGCAGAGCCCAGTCAGCATCTCATGTGTAGTGTGAAGTCATTTACAGTACTCATCGCCATCACTGGCCGTGGAGAGAGGTGTATAGAGAGCACTGCCTGTCCCAAACCAGGCAGCTAGAGGAGATAAGAGGCGACAAGCTCTCAGCTCCGGACAGGGGACAGCCTGAGGCCTAGTCCAGCTCAGTCCCCGTATCTGACGCACAGAGAGGCAGACAGGCGAAAAGAGCCTAGTCACAGACTGTCAGGATAATTCCACCCCTGGTATCAGAGAAGCTCCCAGAGCTGCACACTCATGTGCACAGACCCACTGCTGATAATACAGCTCAACTCTCTTCCTCGGTCGCTTGTGAGTCAAGCTCAGCGTTGCTTTGTGACAGCACATTAACAGTGTAAGCTGGAGACGAGGCTCCAGTTCAAGTCCTCCCAGTACACCAACAAACAATTCTCCTTCCAATTTAGGGCTTTAGAGTGCAACAAAAAAATAACCTAATTCTAAAAGTAGGTCAATATGGGAATTATTGATATATCTATTGCCTACTTTTTCAATTGAGCAGTGGTGTTTTAGCCAACTACATCAGAAATATCAAAAATTCTGGTGCCTATTCTCAGATTGTTAACTACTGGTTACACATAACACAGCCCTTTGAAAGTGCTAACTCAGTGCTAACAGAAAAGCTACACAGAAAAGCTTATGGGTGAAAGTGAATATTAGCAACATTCAGTGACACCCTCAGTGAATGTGAAAAACCTACGTAAACATCAACGTGTTAGCTGTCACATGGTGAACAGATAAGTATGCTAACATACAAATCTGTTTGTCTGCTGAGACACAAAACTTAGGCTACACGGTGAAAAATGGCAAACATATTACCCACTAGCTAAATGTTAGCATTTTGTAGTCATTATAAGCAGGTGAGTATTTAAGCAGCTCGGCTCCAAGTTAGCTAAATTATATTCCCTAACACCCTAAACTAAGATGTAAAAGATGTTTAATGTTAGACCTGCCATCCAAACATAAGCACTTTTTAGCATGCTAAAATTAGCATTCAGCTTAAAGTAGCCTACACCCTCACAGAGATGGTAACATGGTTGTAAACTATTAAAATGAACCCTCATAATTTTCCTTGAAATTTTCTGATTTATTACAAATAATTTCTATCTATTCTATTTCTTGTGACTCCAATCACAATTTTTAACTCCATGACCAACATCAGATGACTTATGAGTCAGCTGAAAAACAGACAACCAGCCTGTGTAGATTAATGATGGTGATCATAAATCAATTAGCCGTCAAAAATTGTAAAATGTTGCCAGTTGTATGTTATAATATTTGACCATTTACTTTTTTATGACTAAAAACGGAATATTTTGAAGTAGGCTGTAAGTCCCACATTACCAATTATTTTAACATGTCCCCTTGGGCACTTGATTGGCCTCATCAGGAGAAAATATTGGTATTACCCATTAAATGCAGCACTAATGGCGAGGTCATAGGATAAACATAACAGATAAACAAAGATACACATTTTTGTGTTACATTCTCTCCAGTGGGACCTTGCACCTCACAAACAATCGATCGCTTTTAAAACAAGTTTCACACTAATGTCTCTCCACCAAAGACATCTGACCACAGTTCACATCCTCGTCGATAAACAACATGGCAGGTTAGAGGCCGATAAACAAGCGCTTCAGTGTTGTGTTTGGGTGTCACAGGGGAGCAGCTTAAGACCGGACAGCATACCGTATAATACAATCACCTCATTAAAATTTCATTGCCTCCTTCTGCCTGCTCATACTGAGGGAGGCTCCACAGCTGCTCTGCTGCCGAGGGGATCATGTTGAAATCACCTCAAGTTCACTGTCAGACGGAGGTTCACACGTTATCACATTGTGTTCGCTTCTTAAAAACACATTCATCCCCTATCCAGGTGAAATCCACCCCCTACTCGACCCCATTATAAGTTCCTTCCCCCTCCTCTCTTCTCCCTGGAAACTCATATCTTCTTTTCTGTCTCAGATTAAACAGCCGTCCATTCATCCAGCCCATACCACGAGCAGCCAGCACAACATCCTCCTCACTCTGCACACGGCTCCTGACAGGCAGACGGTGAGAATTGCAAATCCCTCAGGTTTAATCTCAGCGCTGAAGAGCAGAGCAATGTTGTTGTTGTTGTTGTTGTTGTTGTTGTTGTTTTTTTACAAAAGACAACAACCATCCCTGCAGGCCACTCGGAGGGGACAGACCGGTGACTGGCCGACTCAGCACAAAAACCAAGACCATGGGGTAACCTTGAAAACCTGCTCCTTATGAACTAACAGAGAGACTCCTAAACAAACCTCTCTGTGTTTGTCATTGTATCAGGGACGGCAGTCCAGACACACTAAACAAACTAAATCGAAAGCATGAGGCCTTTGGAGAACACAAGTCTGTTGCACATTAACACTCTAAACAGATCTCTGCAACATGAGGTATTTTCTCATTGACTCAGATAACATCAGGAGCCTCGTTTGAACTTCCTGCTTATCTCCTGCTGGAGCTCAGTTAAAGCTTTCATGTTCATCCTCATGCTTAACCCTCTTTGTCTTTACAAGTTATAACCAGGATTAACATTTATACACACAAACAAGACCTTAAATACCACCAGTGGCCTCCGCACAGTCCCTCGGCCTCACAGCTGAAAGTTAACCCCTCGCTAGAAGTCGGACAAACTGGAGTTTTGTTTCCTCATAGAGTGAGAGTTTCTATAATCCCTGAATCCATCATGGTTTTGATTTTGTGTGTCTAAGAATGCGTGCAGTCGTGACTTCTTGTCTCTGATCCTCCTATTGTGAACATTTATGAGTATAATAGAGACAGAACTGTGACTAAAGATCTTCTGTCATTTTGTGATGATCGATAAATTCTAGAAGTGTGTCAAGTCAATAAGTCAATTTACAAAAGAAAACAAATCTCGTGACTGTTTCAGAAATCATTCTGTTTTAATTAAATGGGAAAAGAGAAGAGAATAGGCAGATTGTCCTTAGCTTCAGGCGCAGAAAAACCAAAACAGTTTTTGGTTTTGGCTACTGTTGCATGCACAGAAACATTGGGCAAAAGAGTGACAAACCTTTCAAGCTATTCGTCACTTTATTAATAAAAAGAATTAGCAGATTGATCAATACATAATAACTAGTTGCAGACCTATATTTGACAAGTTATTCTATTATGAAAATACATTACCAGATAACA